GTTGGTGTCCGTGTGTCGGTGTCCGTGTGTCTGTGTGTCAGTGTCCGTGTGTCTGTGTTTGTGTCCTTGTGTCTGTGTTTGTGTCCGTGTGTCGGTGTTTGTGTCCGTGTGTCAGTGTCCGTGTGTCTGTGTTTGTGTCCTTGTGTCTGTGTTTGTGTCCGTGTGTCGGTGTTTGTGTCCGTGTGTCTATGTTTGTGTCCGTGTGTCAGTGTCCGTGTGTCTGTGTTTGTGTCCGTGTGTCTGTGTTTGTGTCCGTGTGTCGCTGTCCGTGTGTCGGTGTTTGTGCCGGCGCTGGGGTTTCTGTGGCTGTGCCAGGGTGTCGGTGACAGTGAGCAGGTGTCAGTGCCAGGGTGTCAGTGCTGGTAACGAGGTGTTGGTGACAGTGCTGCTGGTGCTGGCATGTCGCTGCTGCTGCTGCCGGGCCATCAGTGCCAGTGCTGGAGTGTCAGTGCCATGACAGGGTGTTGGTGGCAGTGTCGGTGCTGCTGAGGTGCTATTGGTGCCTGTGATGGGGTGATGGTGCCGGTGCCAGGGTGTGGGTGCTGCTGATACACTGCAAGTGCTGTGCCAGGGTGCTGGTGGCGGTGCCAGCGCTGGGGTGTGGGTGCCAGGGTGCCAGTGCCAGCGCTGGGGTGACTGAGGCAGTGTCCATTCCCCGGCAGGACGGTGGCAATGGCGTCAGATGAGCGGCTGGCCCGCTTCCGCCAGGCCCACCTGAACCCCTTCAACAAGACCCCTGAGCAGCTGGAGCGCCCCGACGGAGAATCCCCTGCCCCAGGTGGGTGCTGATTCCCCCACCCCACTCCCTGTCCCACACTGGGGTGGGCAGCCAGGCCCAGCTCCTCCCTGGTACCCCTATTCTGGGGGTGGTTTCAGCCCCCCATGAGACCCCACTTTGTAGCCCAGCAGCCGGATCCCACCCCAGGGGACCCCGAGGGCGCCCTGGACCTGGGGCTGGCCGAGGACCACTTCTCCCGCCCCGTGGTGAGTGGGGCGGGTGTTGCGAGGATGGGGGGGATGTGGGGGACTCAGCTCACCCTCCTCCTCCTCTGGTGGTGGCGGCAGGGGCTGATCCTGGCGTCGGACGTGCCGCAGCTGCGCCGGGCCATTGAGGAGTGCAAGCGGGTGATCCTGGCGCTGCCTGAGCACTCGGAGCGGCAGAAGGACGCCGTGGTGCGGCTCATCCACCTCCGCCTCAAGCTGCAGGAGCTGAAGGTGGGGCTGAGGCTGGAGCTGCGGCAAGGGGGTCTCTATGGCTGGGGCTCCATGCTGACACCCATCCCTGGCAGTGTCCAAGGCCAGGCTGGACAAGCTTTGGAGCAGCCTGGGATAGTGGAAGGTGTCCCTGCCCGTGGCAGGAGGTGGAATGGGATGAGCTTTAAGGTACAACCCAAGCTATTTCCATGGATCTTTACTTCTCTGACCCTCATCCTTTCCACCAGGACCCTGGTGAGGATGAGCCCAACATCCGGGTGGTCCTGGAGCATCGTTTCTACAAGGAGAAGAGTAAGAGCGTCAAGCAGATGTGTGACAAGTGCAGCACCATCATCTGGGGGCTCATCCAGACCTGGTACACCTGCACAGGTGGGTCTGGGACACCCCCTCCACATCCCTGCTTCCCCCATCCCCTCACTGACACCCACCTGTGCCCCCCAGGCTGCTACTACCGGTGCCACAGCAAGTGCCTGCCGCTGGTGAGCCGGCCGTGCGTGCGGGCCCAGGTGAGCCACCAGGCCGAGTACCAGCTCAGCATCTGCCCCGAGAGCGGGCTGGACAGCCAGGACTATCGCTGTGCCGAGTGCCGGGCCCCCATCTCCCTCCGTGAGCCCCTGCTGCT